TTCAGGTTTTTACAAAAATTTATAAAAATACAAACAAATGTGTTTTTAAGAAACACGATGAAAAGGAGATAGAACATGACTTGTTCAGTTCATGGAATGAACGGAGTACCACATCAGCACAAACGTTTTTGAAACTTGGTAAGCACGAAGTAGACAGTCTTATGAAGCCATAGGAAAAAGCAGAACATGATTTGCTATTGCGGTTAGCAAGTTATGACCGATTGAACAAGACCGTCAAGGGATGTTACGAAGCTGCAAATTCAAGCTTTTTCACGGTTCAAGCCACGACAAACCAGGATACAATCTTCATACTGTTGGAAAGATCTCGTTCTCAAGAATCCGTATCATCTTTCGGATCTCAAATCTGATGTGTATAGATGAAGAAAAAGCTCGACAAAAAATCGCATGGACCACGACCGACGCAACCCTTCCCGTGACCGAGGTCAATACCGGACCAGATATCGGCCCGCGTCCTCGACCGGTACCGAGTCCCGATCGCCTTGCGTCACGAGTGCCCGAATCCTGGACACGAGTATCGGCCCACGAACGCGACCGGCACTCGGGAGAATTCGCCCTGAAACGTCCCGCGACAAGCATGGCCCAATACTGGTCAAGTGTATCGGTCCACTCACCCGACCGATACTCGACCACATGTGACCCGCGACAAAAATGCTCCCCGTTCCACCCAATACCGGTCCACACCGCCGACCGGCGCCACGACCGATATTACCCCCACACCGCGTCCCCATCAACCACCAAGCCATTGGAGCCACGAACCATGGACCATCGGACCAACACTTCGAACCACCGAGCCGACCACCTAACCGTTTGGTTAAATAAGGTTAATTCTTTCATGAACTTTTGCATTAGAAATTAAAATATTGGTTAGATTTAAATGGTTTTAAATATGATTTTCACATCTTGACATATCATTCATTGATTTCACTTAGATTGATAATTTTTAACAATTTGGATTCATTATTTTGATTTCTTTTTGTTTCTTATCTATTTTTCCTTCCCTTGGACTTGGAATTCAATACACATGTATTGAAAACTTTGATCCAAGATGAATTTAACAAGTAATTTCAAGTGTTTTTGYAAGGATATGTTGCTCTTAAACAGGATTTCCTAGAGATTTCATTGTGGACGCACAATTCAATCGTCTTAAACATTATCCTCCATTCAAAAGAGATGTGACAGAAAAGAGGAGACATTGAAGATACAAAGCATGGTTTCGATTCATACGGGATACCTAATGCTCACAAACAACGAAGATCTAAGATTGATCGCGACAACCTAAGATTTTTGCCAAAAATAGCCAAGCTCACCCGTACTATCATTATAATCTCTATCTTTTTGATTCTTATTTCAAATAAATTTTCATCATTACTCCCTTAATTTGATTTAATTTTACACCGGGGACGGTGTAATTTAAGTTTGGGGGGATTTTTGTTACTAACACGTTTGTTCGTGTTTTGTTTTTATGTTTTCAAAAGGATTTTTCAAAATTTATTTTC